TGATAGTATGTGAGAAATCTAAATTTTTAGAAAATTGTAAATATGTCCCCAATTGGTCTTGTTGGGGTGTAAGTGCTGATAGAATGTGAGAAATCCAAATTTTTAGGATCGTGAAAAGTACATTTACACTTCGTTTCCAACATGGGATAGGCCTACAATTGCCGAACAATTTTGCACTGCACATTGGGGAATGAATCCGTTATTAAGAGTCTAATCCCACTATTCGATTAGCAGAACCCAAGAGTTGGCAGTGGGTGTTGTTGACTAGCACCTGGCTTCCCTCTAGTTTATCAGTAAAATAGTTAGGTACACACAGCGCTGTTAGCTTTTGCGTAGTTTTAAGTGATTATACGCAACAAACAAACCTTTCTAATACTGTAACATTTAGGTCGAAATATTTTAGTTTTGGTTGATGAAAACGTATTAACACTAGACTTCTGTGACATAATGAAAACTGTTTTTATCAGTTTTGAAGTAATTGCCAAATATTACTTTAAAACAAGAGACTGTGGTGTGTAGACTGTGAAGGGTGGGGGGTATGTACATTATTCATATCGGGTTTCGAGTCGTACCTGTGAAGTGAAGTGCTTAAATGTCTAACTCTACAAATATATCAAAAATAACTTAAATTATTATTTTTCACAGACCACGTCGAAATTTGTGTGATATCAGTCGAAGGATTTTTTAACATGTAAAACTTATACCGAGTTTGAAAGTAGCAATAAGAACGCATTGGAATAGCTCATTGATCCATATACGGCTTCAACGTATAATAGTAATGTTAATGCATTGTAATATCCTTCACAGAACCCGGGTATTTACAGAGAACCTTTGAAACTATCTGTAAGTACAATTAGAAAGGAGAAACCCTAACTGTGTTATTATCATCAACTGTGTGAACTTTTGAAACACTAATGCACAAGGTGTCTCTCGAACTCTAATTCAGAACGAACTTCAAAGAATTCGATGACGAGGAACCCACTTTGAGACTAATAATGGCCTGATGATGACAAAACCTTGTCGAAACGTTGTACATTTGCTGTTATGTGAAACTTATATCAAAGTTTTTCTTCATTACCCACTCAAGCCGTCTCCAGCCATTATGAACTTCAAAGAAGAGCAGCAGATATGGTTTTCGCATCTTTATAAGTTCGAACACCTCTGACAAGACAATATTTCACACATAGGTACGTTTTGAACGTTGGTAGACCACATGACCAAAGCTGCTCAAAATTAATGTGAAAGCAACTTCAGGTATAAAATGTAATGGAAAGCGTTTCGTCTTAACTGTTTTCATCTTCAAATACATTGTATATGAAGTCTAACAACGCTGTCATTTTTCTAGATGGGTGTGTGAGTCTTTGCATTTTTGGACAGAAACTTTTGATAAAGGATCATGAGGTTGTGTTCCTCAGAATTTTGGAAGTTGACAGTTTTTGTACAACTAGCTCTGATGAAGCCGCAACGGTGAAACGGTGGCTGAAATAAAAAAGCTTTTTTAAAAGAGATATATTTGTTTAGCTTGTTGTTTATACACATTTGACTTTATTAGTACACGGAGATATACTTGAAACCAGATGAATCCATACTGTTAACGGTAATCGAGCAAACAATGCTTTACTGTTTGTGCAGAACATTGTATTTGCTCCTATATGTATATATATTTAGTATGTGAATTTGTATACTTTTCTCAAAGGCAAATACAGAAAGATAATCTGAGAACGTGTTCTTTTAATTAAAGGAAATTAATTAGATGTGAAAACATGAATAAAACGTAACATTACAAGACATTTAATGTAAAGAAGTGCTGAGGAAACATTTTGCTGTGTTTAAGAATTTGTAGTGTACACTGGAAGGATTTAGACATTTTAGTAGTAAGGTTAGAAATAAAAACGACATTTACTTGCTAGATAATGATCAATTCATACACGAGTTTACAATAATTTATCAATATAGATCAGAGACACTAGTTTCAAATTAATACAATTATAACCCTCTATAACCTTATAAATCTATATACTACACTATTATTCAATCGAGCTTTGCACTTAGAGCAAAATATTCTCTCAAAAAATTAACTTAGGATGTCTCCCCCTCTCCTAAAACCTATTATTAAAACAACAATAATATCAATTTTTACCATGGTGAGTAAAAGTAGGGTATATAAATAAAACATAAAATATATTCACTCCTACCTCACGAACTGAGAAGCTGGTCACTCCATCTCTTTTCTTCTCATCTGGCTGACTTCTTCAATAGTATCGTGAATTATCTTTGATGTTGATTATAAGAAGGTGTACTGGTTGTCGTAATAGAACATAGGATTTTGTGGTATAATTCTCGGCAAAGTTAAGTTTCATTCCGATTCTGTCCCAGTGAACTTAACTTGTATTAGTTTCAACTGCTTTCTCTGAAGATAAATATAGAAGTAGTTACATCTTGAGTCATTCCGTTACAGTTGGTGTAATAATCAAAGTGTGTTTTTTTTACGACTTGTGTTTATTTCTGGACGAATATTCTACTTGTTGAGCTCAGACTAAATTACATGATCATATGAGTAGATGCCATAGATTTATTTTTTGAAAAGTCTATGTCAGTGGTACTTTTTGTATTTCGTTATAAATGGAGAAATCTTTCTACAAGACAAAGTGTTTGTTTAAAGAGAAGTTAACAGAGACTGAAGTGTTGCCATTGTTTTTGGCGTTTAATATTCGCATAGCGAATCCATTTTTTCATCACCGGTGACAACTCTGTCCAAAAATGGTTCATGCGCATTACGCGCCAGAAGAGACGAAGCAACGTTCACACGTTGGAAACGATTATCATCGGATAGTTCGTGAGGCACCCAAACACCTTCTTTATGGAGTTTTCCTATATTCGTTAGATGTTTACGTATTGTTTCATAAGAGACATGCAATTTCAGGGCCATTTCACTAGTGTGTTGCCTTGGGTTAGATTCAACAAGCGTCTTCAGAGCATCAATATCAATTCCAACATGTCAGCCCCTGCCATCACAATTTTTAAGGCTAAAGTCACCTGAATGAAATTTGCTGAACCAGCGTTGACACTTACGAACGTTCAAAACATTTCCATAAACTACTTTTATATTCTTTACACATTGTATTTGGCTAAACTAATGTGACGTTTAGGCGGTTCGTTTAACTACAATACGTGATGTACGTTTGTTTATTTGGGGGGGGAGGTTAATGAAAGTGTTTCAAAACGCGACATTAATTTCTTGACGACCTAACATATATTGTCATGTCTTCACCGAAGACAACAATAGATTAGCAGCATAAAAGTAAGTTAACAACTAGTTCTTCAAAGTTTATCATTTTTTATCATATTAACAACGACGTCCTTACTTTAAGAATCATTTACTGTAATTGACCTAAGAAAATGATGGGCTTAAATTCGAGATTAAACAAGATTAAGTATTCAATGTATTTAAAGTTTAAACACGATTTGACTCTAAACGTTTTTAAAAAAGGGGCAAGATATGTGTGTAGAAATTGAAGGCCGTTTTTACAAGTGGATAAACAATCACATCTTGATTCAGAAGAATCCCTCTATATGTTCGTTAGCAAGGGATAGTTTATACTATATAAAAACGATACGGATTTCAAGAAATAGCTAGCTTCATAAACCGAGTTCTTCTCATCAGAGAAGATTACACGAACGTGAGAACAATTATGGAAATAGAAGAGTCGATGTCGGACCGTTTAAGTTTTTTTTTGTTTGTTTTTGAATTTCGCGCAAAGCTACACTAGGGCTATCTGCGCTAGCCGTCCCTAATTTAGCAGTGTAAGACTAGAGGGAAGGCAGCTAGTCATCACCACCCACCGACAATTCTTGGGCTACTTCTTTTACCAACGAATAGTGGGATTGACCGTCACATTATAACGCCCCCACGGCTGAAAGGGCGAGCATGTTTGGTGGGATGGGGATTCGAACCCGCGACCCTCAGATTGCGAGTTGAGCGCCCTAACCACCTGGCCATGATTTTTTTTAAAGAAAACTTTATTAAAATGAAACATTAATGATGTATTTTTTATGATTCTTCGGGTTGAAATTCCTTCTGAGAAATATCTGAATATCAATGGTTGAATAAGATCTAACTACCTCGTATATAATAAAACACAATTTTAACGTGGTTATCTAAATCTAAAGTAAATACCTTATTCGGAAACACTTTATGTTTCAGGTACTCTCGCTAGCGTGTTAGACAATGATGTTGAGGACTTTGTCTGCCCCGATGAGGATGGTTACTATGCAACTTCTGAATGCCACACCTACTACAACTGTGAGGGTCGGAATAGAACAAGGAAAATCTGTCCTTCCGGTCTTCACTTCAGTCGAATGACCAGAATATGTGATTGGCCTGCCTTTTCAGGGTGCAAACAAGGTAATATTACTGAAACTTCGCAATAAATAGTATATATATATTTTATTATACTAGCTAATACTGTTTAAAAATTATAACGTAAAGATAAAAAAAATATATCGAATATTCTTAGTAAGGTTAAAGTAAGCTTTCCTTTCAAGATAATACTTTAACTACCTGATACACATTGTAAACATTTAAATATATGTGATAATAAAATATCCTGAAATATTATGAAACAAACTAATTAACCATTTAGCCTTAACTAATGCTTTCCGCCGTAAGTGCACATTTCGGATATTAAATGCGTCAATAAACGTTATAAAACAACTCTACTGAAATAACATGAAACAAAATGTTTAAACTCAACTAATGCATTTATACTAAGAATAAGAAGTTGGACCACCTTGTGTACATCTCATGTTATAAGAAGAGCCAAATAATTTAAAACGTAAATTCATATCACTCCACGTAAAGTAATAGCATGTATTTTACTTTTTTAACTAGTGGCTTTTATGATATTATCATGTTTCATCTTCAAAACTAATTTTATTAATATTGAAATCGTAGTTAATCCGTTATTCTTTAGCAAATAAAACTATGTATTAACTACACTCATTAAGAACAATTATAATTAAATGAACACTGTTTTAAAAGTAATATAATAAAACAACAATATAGGAATCATTACTAAACTTATAAAAATATACATTTTACTCATGACTTTAATTCCAGGGTCCAAACAGGTTTTAAGAACACCAGAATTTAATCTTGGACAGCCAACAACTGAAATCACCTGTCCAATCAAGGCCTGCCACTGTTTGTATCCTAGCAAGACAGACTGCAGTTCATTTTATCGTTGCGTCAAGGGAATCGCCTATAAAGAATGGTGTGGAAACAGTCTATATTTTGATGTCCAACTGGGAACTTGTAACCTTAAGGAGGATGTCAAATGTGGTAAGTTGGATGTTAATTTCGAACATCTCCTATCGAATACAATTTATGGAAACATACCATTATATGTTTCATAAACTTGTATAAGACCGTATTAAGTTTTAAATGTCTTCGTAATTTCTATCTAAACAAAACATATACTTAGTATATTTTACACCCCCCGGTGGCACAACGGTACGTCTGCGGACTTATAACGCTAGAATCCAGGTTTCGATACCCGTGGTGGGCAGAGCACAGATAGCCCATTGTGTAGCTTTGTGCTTAATTACAAACAAGTATATTTTACCAAAGATTCTCGGTGGTATATCAAAAATAATACTGAGTGTATATACAGATGAAAGTTAATTCACTGTCTAACCTCATCTTTCCATTTAATCGGGACCTTTATCACAACTATTTTCTAATTTATCATCTTTGAATTACTTTTGTTAAGATATTTTAAGAATTTCTTACGGTTAACCAAAAATAAATAAATAAAACAAAATGTGCAAAAAAAAAATTATTAATTTCAAAATAATATTACTTTCGATTTAGAAATAACCACCACCACAACAACAACAACAACTACAACTGCCAAACCAGACATTGGCTGTTTTGAATGTCCTGAACCATATGGACTCTTCAAAGACCCGGACAACTGTAGAAGATTCTTCCACTGCTCTTATGGCATTCCATATCACAAATGGTGCCCTGCTAATCTCCACTTTAACGAACGGCTTAAGGTCTGTGACTGGCCACAGAACGCTTGCTGTGGTGAGTAGTCATATTGATAATCACGATCCTTTTAAAGATAAACGCAAATAATGGTTTTCCAAATACATATTTAACAACTTGTAAGAAGACTCGCTTGATTGAATACGCGATACTGATTAACACTTAAAATCGAATATAAGAATGTTTTTCCCAAACAGCAGAGTATAGTATATAATATTCCTCATAAACATGATGATTATATTTTTGTACCTCATAAACATGATGATTATATTTTTGTCCTCATAAACATGATGAGTATTTTTGTTCGGCAAGTATAGTATATAATATTCCTCATAAACATGATGAGTATTTTTGTTCGGCAAGTATAGTATATAATATTCCTCATAAACATGATGATTATATTTTTGTACCTCATAAACATGATGAGTATTTTTGTTCGGCAAGTTAGTTACTTTTATTGAATTTTAATGGGCATTTTTAAAAACTTTAGAAAAAAATAGACCCTGCCCTGAACCAACCCCTACGCCCACACAACCCGAAGACGTATGCAACTGTGAGTGCTGTTTTTTTCCGGATAAGAACGACTGTTCTGCCTATACGTACTGCGAGAAAGGTATCCTGTACAAAAAACGTTGTAGCGAAGGGCTTTACTTCAATCCAAGAATTGGAAATTGTGACTATAAACAAAACGTTGACTGTGAACTTGATCCTAAGTGTCCACAGCCCAATGGAAAGTTTCCAATTCCTGGCACCACCACCTATTATCTGATTTGTATTAATAAAATCCCAAGAATAGAGAAATGTCCCGAGGGACTTAGCTTTGACCCCGTCACAATGTGCTGTACCTGGCCGGACCCGCCCCGAAACAGTAAGTAATTTTATTCTTCTAGTTATCAACTATAACAGAAATAAAATATGCATAGGTGTAAAGTATTGGAAATAGGATTATATATATCCATGTCTTTCCTGTAATTAGACGGATTATGTTACATTTGCATATTTACATTTAATAGGCATACAGTTCGTCTAAATATACACTAGTTAGCACATTAATAATTAAAATCAAGGCAGTAGTTCTTGTATTATAATAGCATTTATTCGTATTTCTATAATGAATATTATCATTGTACGTTACTCCTTAAAAGTTTGTAAATACTTTTGAAAATCATCCTAAAAATTAATAAAAAGTGTTTCTTGTAAAAAGTAATGGTTGTATTCTAGAAACCAGAACCAAAATCAAAAGCAATTTTACAATCGTAATGTAAAACAGGAGACTGCCTGATGAATGAAAATCACACACACTCACACACACACAAGTTTATTCTGTTGTCATTACCTTTAATGAATTTAAATAAGTTATTTATTACTTATATTGTCTTTGGAATAGTTACGGTTCCAGGACTTATCACCTATCCATCCAAGAATGAATGTCCTTGTGATTGTTGTGCCATCCCTGATCCCAAGGATTGCTCCAAGTTCACCCTCTGTATTAACGGTAATGCTATAAAGCAAACTTGTGCTGATGGTCTTCGCTTTAACCCGAAAATCGAAAATTGTGACTATGCCAGAAACGTGGAA